CTATGAGTCTTATTTGATAATTGCCAAGTAAATGTTTTTTTCCCCCCATACTCTGGTTCAGAGCAGCTCTTACTCCTTTGGAGTAATATCACCCTCTTGAGGAAAATATGTTTAGTGCATGTTACATTTGCTACTTTGTCAGTATCTCCGTGATTTTCTTGAACTTAGGGGAGTTCTGTGCAATTACCTACCTCCTAATGGGTATGTGGACATAACAGGCATTTAAATCATGTTACTACCAAGTTCAGTCATCTAACTTTTTTTTAAATCACCATCTAGTGAAATACATAAGTAGTCAAAACAGGAATCTGTATAATCTTCACTTATGTATACGGTCAGTACATTTCTGCAGAGCAAGTGCAATAACCCAAGTCAACTACTCAATTAGCTCTCTACTGTGCAGATTTTTATTTAAAGGATACACATTCCAGGACTTTTTTAATGCCTTTTTTGTACTATATACCTACACACACTTTATATTGTCTGTTTTAATCTTTAATTGCATCTTGCTTTAACTGTACTCTATATAAGCTACTGGAACCAGAACTTCCCTGAAGGAGTAATCCCAAGGGATAAATAAAGTAGAGTCTAAGTCTAACAAGAAACACTTAAGAGTACCCTTAATTTTGTCATAATACTAATCAAAGGGGGAGACTCAGGCACAACACATTTAGCCCAAGGATGGGCACTAGCTAGAGGTAGTCCCGATTCAACAGCAGTAACCTTTAATTTTACCAGTTGCTTTAGTTAACATTTACAACCCACTTGATAGGAGATAAATCGCCATCTTTTAATAATTTTTAGGTTTTATTATTCATGTCCTTATTTTGCCCCTGCTCATTTTCAGTATCAGATCTTTATATTAGCAAGATTATGACAACTATTAAGCTTTCTAGACATATCAATATTACAAAGTATTCCACAGCCATTTCAAAACTCCATACTCCAGAATATTAAAACACTTAAAATGTTAACTGCAAAAACAAACATCTGTTAAATCTCCAATACTATTTAGAAGTCAAGATTAATACTTAATATGAGCCAACTTAAACAGTTACCTACATGCATAATTGAAAAACATCTAGAAATGTCCAAAACATTCCTACAGCTTTAGTTGTATTATATTTGCACTTAGTTTACAGAGGAAGTTCTAGAACCGCCAACCCATTCTCTAGCCACAATAGCACATTGGCAGATTATACCCAGTTATCTCATTGGATTGCCCTCTTGCATAAAAGACAACATTGCATGTTTGGAGATGCTGTTTCACTTATTAAAGCTTGTAGAGTGGCTCAGGTTATCCCGAGTCATCTCTAGTTATGCTGCTGGAGGACATAGGGACCAGATTTCATGAGTCGCTGTCTTCTTATTCTGCAGTTAGTCAGTTCAAACCATAATTTTGTTTCCTCCGCTTTTTCTTTTAAGTAGCTTCATCTGGTCTGTTCAAGTTTGGCTGTGACACGATCCTACGGAGAAATATCAGCCAAGCTGCCGCCATGAACACCTTAAAATGTGGACAATTAATCATTTCTCCTAGGCATGGCTATCGGCTCTTTTTTTTACCTTGATTAACTGCATGTGTGCAGATTCTTAAACATGGAAACTGTCAGAGCACGTTTTTTCACTTCATATTGTGCTAGAAAGTGCTAGTTAGAATTTTTAATGTAGAAAACATTTATGCATTAGTGCTTCTATATTAATTTTGTAGGTCCTCTTCCCTCTCCTTGAACCCTGTTAGCCTAGGAAGAAGGCTACTCACTCTTGAGCCTGGTTCTAACCACCCCAACAATGATCAGTCTGCATGGACTTTGCAGTGCAAGATTAATATAAGTGCAATATAAGAAAGCAAGCAAATCACCATCATTTCAATCTTTAGAAGCACTTAAAAAAATGATAGCAAACGTCTCTGAAGAAATATTTATTTACTCAGCAATACATTTATATAGGACTTGTGCGTCATCGATTCTTCTGAACCAAAGCCATTTGGTGGATAAACCTCAACTTTCATTAGGAACGATTGGGACAAAGGCTTAACAGGAAAACTAGTCAAAGGGCCACAGAGTACTAAAAGGTACAAGGTTACATCAAGTAGCTATGTTGGTCTCATTAAGTGCCTTGGGGAAAACTTAAGTGCTCCATCTTATGTCAAATTATCCTACATTTACTGAGTGATGCCAATAACTCCACAGGCCAGGCGGCCACCAGCGTTTCCAGTCTTGAGGCTCTCGTCATTTCCTCCTTTTCCAAGATCGTCAGTCTTCTCGTGGATCTAACAATATACAGATTGCAAGAGTGTCCGTCTTTGTGTCCATTCATCTAAAGATAAGCTAAATTTAAGTTACTTACCACCATAGTTCTGCCAATAATGGAGTAGGGCCCTGAGAGCTTGAGATGACTGTCTGCCAAGCTGATCTTAGCTACATTATCAGCTCCTGCAGTCACGTTCCCCAAGTCTCCAACATGCCTAATATAGGAAATAAAACAAACTTTAGACTGGGCCAATTATACTTCTAACATTTGAAGTTAGTTAAAACTATACTGTAGGTGCATTCAAAGGCAAAAACAAAGAAGTTATAAAACCATGATACGACACCAATGACTCTTTTCAGAGGCGTGGGCCAGTATTCGTTTGGCAGAACAACAACGACCTCAACGACTCCCAGTACTAAGGGTTGGACCTGTTTTTTTTCCAACTCAATTAGCACATTTTCTAAGACATAACAAGGCTTTTGTTTTGGCCATCCTATGAGCCTGGAACTCAACGCCAATCCAGACATTTTGAAATAAGAAAGTTTTTTGGATGGGAAGCTAAACATCTTCAAACTTGGAAAACAAAGTCCAGAGGTTTGTTTTACTTT